TATATGGGTCTTTATGTAACTTCATTCGTTAGCATAAATTCCTTCTGATAAGGTCCGGCACTCAGCTTTTCGTTTGTATTCACTGTCTGCTAATTATATCCACGCTCATATGTTGTCACCCGCAATAGTCATCCTAAAAGTTGAAGAGCTGTTATATTTGATAATACACAAATGTTTATTAAGGATGTAGAAAAGGTCAACTAATGGATGACAATAATACAGAAGCTTCACAACGACAGTCTTGGAAAGGTGGAGCTGGAGGCTACCACCTGGGAAAGGGCATACTTCGTGGGCCGTCGCAGGAAGGGCAAATGTTTCTTATAATTGTCTACAGGGGAGGGTGTTGCTGGAGACCGCCACTAGGGAAAGGACGACTGATATGCACATTACCTGCGAGGGCACACCACATACATTATCCTTGATCACCCCCAAACTGCCCACACCCAATGATTCACACAAGGTCGCCTTTATTTTCTCCTCATGGATCAAACAGTTCTGCCAACACTACTAAACGCTCCCGCTGCCTATGTGGTTATTCACAGAGAGTAGCATTTGTCAACAACACTACTAAACGCTCCCGCTGCCTATGTGGTTGTTCACGGAGAGCAGCATCTCACTACTAAACGCTCCCGCTGCCTATGTGGTTGTTTCACAGAGAGCAGCATTGATCAACTTTGTATTTATTTTTCCACAGCACTAAGTTTGCAATGACGAGGCCCTCCGGGCCAAAAATATAAAATTTATTTATTTATTTATTTATTTATTATGTGGTTTGTGCGTCAGCGGTTACCGCTACAAGTTATTTTCTGAAGGGAGCCCAAGGACCGAATGCTACACCCTCAAGGATTTAGGCTTAAGCTACATAAATAAGCTAGATCTCTCACCTCACGCCGATAGAATCACGATTAATCTGCCTAGATTTGCGGCTTTACTTTCTATTCTGACATCATATTGGGAGTTAATCATATGTTTTTCTTTTTCTATTCTCAAATATTACTAGTAAATATAATTAGTGAACGAATTCAGCCGCCAAAAAATAGAAAATTGAACATGTCAAAATACGTTTACTTGAAAAATATTATAACCGACACCTTCAAATACGTCCTACCCAAGTAAATGCCAGCGAACGGAACTAAAATGTATTTGGGTTCGGGGAATGGAAGCAGGCTTATGTCCTATTTTGGGGCTTTATAATCCAAATTTTTCCACAATTTCATTACAGTTCACTCTATTAAGGGGAAAAGGCGGCATGAAGTTGTGGTCAACGTACACAAAAAGTATGTGGTGGTAGGAATAAATCATAGCGCCGACCAATGTGTGATAGAATTAGTGAATAAACGATTAGTGCTTGATTAAAGGGCGGGTAATGTGTATTTAAAGCGTGATAAGTATGCGCCAGGAAACAAAGTAAAGCCACATGCAATTTCTGCAAATATTCCCATGCTTAATTTCAAAAGTCAAGTAAGGCAAACATATGCTTTCAGCAGATCTTCGTCAGGCAAAACTCTTGCAGGGCGGTGACCTCATACAAAACTACCGTATTGTTAGAGGCCGTGAAAGTGCCCTAAAGTTTGACGCTTTCTTCGAATTGGCTCGGACTGATCATCTGCGGGGTCATCCCTTTAAAC